TCTTCTTTGTTATCGCTGCATTCATCCTACCATATGTACTATCATTGGATATCTCTCAGGACATTTGGGCAACGATTGAACAAAGACTTTAATCATCAAATCATTTTAGAATCATTCAATTGAAGAAAGAGCTCCATAAAGTATGATAAACAAAACAATGACCCCGTACTTGTAGAAAATCAAAGCCAAGGTTGACACTCTAGTAGTCGCCGGAGCTCCTATCAACCCAAAGGACATCATCCACTGCACACTCAACCACTTACCCTCCCTCTATCATGCCTTCAAAACTGCCATTTACACCAACCTTCAAATGATCTCCTTCGATGACCTCTACACACTGCTATGCAGCGAGGATATCAACCCCGCAACCGAAAACGATAAGGAATCCCTCCTCTCCACAACTCTCTTTGCTAACCGAGGCAAAAAAAGAACCCGCAACTCCTCTTACACGCCTAACATCAAACAAAATGGTTCATTCCCTCATTTCTATCAAGGTAATCCCACCTTCACTCGCTCCAACAAAGTTCTTCCTTGCCAAAAATGCCGCAAAATAGGATGCGCGGCATTCAAGTGCCAGTTTTACCACGACAAATCCTACCAAACTCCAACCACACTAGTTATGTCAAATGGTATCTCGACAACGGCGCTACGGAGCACTTCACCATGGATTCGAATCAACTTAAAAATGCTCAAGAATATCATGGAAACAATACAATCACAGTCAGAAATGACAAACAACTTTCCATTGTACAAATCAGACAAGAAATCTCGCCCACCCCACTAAGTAAGCCACATTCCGAATTTAGATTAGAGCCTACTATATGTTCATATACTAACTCAAGCAAATTCTTCCTCTATTACTTTTACCTCCAATGGCTATTGCATCATCAACCTAAAGACCAACCGCATCATCCTTAAAGGACCTTGCATTCGAGGAAGCTACCCCATCACCTCCTCAACTACCTAGCAACTCTCCACACCCCTCGCTCTTGTCTTGGCTCAACATATCCTACACCTGTAGCATCAACGACTGGGCCATCCATTGCCTCAGATACAATCAACCATTGCATCCCGACATCCTACCTTATGCATTTCTTCTAAATACTTACATTGCAATTATTGCGAAGTAGCGAAGTGTCATAAACTTTCTTTTTCTATATCTCCTATCAAGTCTCCTTTTCTCATACAACTTAAACATACAAATGTATGAGGACCTTTCCCCACATTATCTTTACAAGCTTATAAATACCATTTAGTTTTTATTGATGACTATACTCGCTAAATTTGGATCTATCTACTTAATAATGCAAATGAAACCAGAAATAAATTTCTTAAATTCCAACCTATGGTTGAAAATCAATTCCCCTTTAAAATTAAAACTCTTCGCATTGATGGTGTCGGAGAGTACCTCAATAACACTCTACAAACTCACCTAAGAAAATTCAGGATCATACATACACGTGCCCCTACATCCCGAACAAAACGGTGTCGTTGAGCATAAACATCGTGACGTCAATACACGTGCCCCTACATCCTGAACAAAACGGTGTCGTTGAGCATAAACATCGTGACCTCATTGAAACAGTCCACACCCTCATAACAACAACCTCTCTTCTTCCCATCTATCGACTGTAAACCTCCTTACAACCTGCTACCTAATTAATCGACTCCCTTCTGCTGTCACAAATCTAATCTCACCCTAAGAATTACTTTACCTTCTCCCACCATCCTACAACCACCTCATAATCTTCAGTTGCCTATGTTACTCGTGGCTTAGACCATACAACAGATAAAAACTCTCTCCACTCTCCACACGATGCATCTTTCTCGGCAATGCAACCTCCCAAAAGGGACATCACTGCCTCGACCCCCATACAAATCAGATCTACATCTCTCGTCATGTCCTCTTCAATGAACAAAACTTTCCCTTCAAAACTCATTTCACCATTCCAACTCCAACTACCCCATCTGAACACCTTCTTCCCCCTCTCCTCCTCACCCTGACCACCACATCATCAACCAAACCTCCCAACATCATCCTCCCTGTGCATTATCATCCAACACAACAATCCATATCAAGCAAATCTACTTCCACCAATCACTCAACCTCCCAAACCCATCCCATAACCAATATAACCTCCACTGCTCCTACCCCACATGCACCCACTCATCTAATGCAAACTCGATTTAAAACCAGTTCACTTAAACCCCGCCAAATACTGAACCTCACTCACCAAATCCACCACCACCAATCCCACATACCACTCCGCCATAAAACACCCCCTTAGCTAGAAGCTATGTCAATCAAATTTCAAGCCCTTCATTTTCAAGACACATGGTCCCTCATTCCATCATCTCCTCACCAAAATGTTTTTGGTTGTAAATGGACATTCCACACCAAACTTAATGCAGATGGCTCCATCTCTCGCCACAAAGCATGCTTGGCCCCCCAAGGTTTCGACCAAAAGCATGACCTCGATTACACTGAAACATTCAGCCCGTTGCTAAATTACTAACGATCTAAATTCTCTTAACACTAAGCCTTGCCCACAATTGGCAAATCCTCCAACTTGAGGTATCCAACGCCTTCCTCCACGGTAATCTCACTGAAAACATCTACATGTCTAAACCTCCAGGATTCGTCGATGCAACCCATCCCAATTATGTTTGCCTTAATCAAGAAGCCCTATATGGACTAAAGCCAACCCCACGTCAATGGTTCACCACCCTATCCACATATCTCGAAGCACTTGGTTTCTAACCAAGCTCCGCTAATCCATCTCCTTTCTGCCTACATAAACACTCTCATCACCTATACATGCTCGTATATGTCGACTACATCCTTCTAACCGATAACAATCCTTTTCTCATTCAATCTGCCATCCACAAACTCCGAATCCAATTTCACATGAAAGTACTTGGACCTCTCTCCCTCTTCCTCGGCATCAAAACTGCTCCCACATCCTAGGTTTACACCTATCTTAAACAAACTATGCCAACAATATTCTCCTCATCACTGGCATGCTCAACTCTAAACTAGTAAAACATCTTTGCTCCTCCAAGCAATCTACCATCTCACCCGACTTCAACCCCATGACCAACTCCACTCTATACTGCCAACTCGTAGGCTCCCTTAAACATCTCACACTAACACGTCCTGATGTAACCTATGTTGTTAATCTTGCCTCCCAACACATGCAATCACCGAGTCAACATAACTTCCTCCAACTCAAACGGATACTTTGTTATATCAATGGTAAAAAATCCACAGGCCTTCCAGTCCATCATTCTCATCTCAAGCTCACGACCTACTAAGAAACAAGGTAAATGTCGCCCGCTCCTCCGAAGTAGAATATCAAGCTCGCACATCGGCTGCAGCGGACTTCTAATAGATTTACGAACATTGCAATCTCAACCGACAGTCTTCTAATGAAATAATACCTCAGCCATTGCTCTCGTCAACAACCAAGTCATTCATTCTCGCACTAAACACATAGAGGTAGATTGTCACTTTATTTGTTACTGCATCAGGCAACAACACATCGTCTTCCACCATATCAATACTCATGATCAACTCACCGATATCTTCACCAAGACTCTCACCAACTTCAAATTTCAGCAAATTTGCTCCAAGGTGACAATCTCTCACGACACTCTCAGCTTGAGGGGGGATGTTACCGCACCTGCCAAAAGTTCCAGCTCCACTACACTGCCACACCTTGATGATCCAGACCATCCAACTACAACAACTCCATCCTAGCCACTCACCTTCTAACCTGCCCAAAGCTCACTCCCTGTTTTATATTTTTTTTACTGTATCAAAAGCAAAGTTGTCTTTAATAAAAAGCTGTGATTCTCCTACATTGGATTTCACAGGAACTCTGTTAGTAGATAAGCTCCAACAAACTCATAAAGCTATAAAGTGTGGTTTCAATGGATTTCTAAGAATCAGTGCTGCCAATACAAGATACAATAATAAATATTGTGTTTGCAATATCAAAAGCTTTATAGGAAGCATCATCCCAATGGCCATGGTTGTGCTTCTTTGCGCATGACATTAAGAGCTAACATCTTGATATATTTGAAATGAAGCACATCAAAAAGCCAGCCGACATTAAGGAGATCTCAACTAAGTTAATTTAGTGGGCACTACCTTCCAAGAACAAACTTAATTTTCATATAATCAATTTTTAATCAGTAAACAATACTAAATAACATGTTCAATACACACTTGAGATGATTCATTTTAAGACCAAACCGTCGAAAATGTTAAAGCAGTCTTAAAATCATTATCATTTATCTTAATTTAATCACTGCCATTAATTTAGCACTCCACATAAAAATATAGATCATCTAAAATCCAAGTCATTGCATACTTGCATCCCCTTCCCTTGTTATTAAGAAGATCCCTGAGACCTTTGCCAATAACTATCTCTTTATATCGTCTTCATGCAAAGCCATAATATTTTTGTTAAGAAAACATCTTATATTGGAGTATAAAATCTACTTTTAATAAATTATATTTAAATAAACAATTTGTGTTAACATAATATTTATACACCCTTCAATTAAAAAAATAAATAAATAAGTAAAAACCTTCTCGAGAGTAAGTTACCATTTGTAATATGTCAAAACTCTCATCCATCAAGATATTATCAGATTCAGCATAATGACCTTAAAATTGTCTCATAAGTATAACTTCCAAAAAAAACACCCCTCATTGGTGCTCTTGCATAAGACCAATAAATATTGAAATTCTTGATGAAATTTCAACCGTTACACCAAAAGCACATCATTGATTAAGAGTTCAACTTCATTCTACTTAAGGGATTGCACAATCTCTTAACAACATAAGAACCTCTATTCGAGATTTCTCACAAATTGTATGTCATGCATAAAAATGCAATTATTTGGTGTTGGAACACATCTCCAAGCTCAAACATAAGAAACATAAACCAAATAAATAAATAAATAATCAAGAACAAAATCAATACGTTCAATTAAATTAGACATCAATAACATCCCGTTACAATACAATCATCCCTTCAAGATTACAAACGCCAATAATCAATCGGCAGATTCTGACACTCAAGTACAATAAGAAATCACATATACTTTTCTCTACCGTTAAATATTCTATATCCTATCATTCTTATTTTTTACATGCTTATTAAGCTTTGAATCTCATAATTAATTAAAAAATACTAACCATACAAGCAATGCATAATTTACCTTTACAAAAATTTATGAAGAATGAGATTCATAAAACCGACCTTAAATAATTAAGATTAGAAAGATGATGCAGACGAATTCAAGCATACTTTCTACACTTGGAGGAAACTCAGCAAACCTGAGCTGACGCTTTAAGTGGTTGGATGTCACCGATCACTGTGAAACAGCGAGAGCAAAGAGTTGGGTGCTCAGAAAACATACCAACATTAGAAGAATAGTTCCAGCATCTCTCACATTTCAGGCCATCAGCAAGACTAACACCAATCCAAATCTCAATATTTGCCTGACTGATGTATGATCCATTATATTGGACGGTTTGCGACACTTCGTCAAGGCACCGCAAAACCTCAACCTACATTGACCCAAAACAACATCTCAGCAGTAGCAAAAAAAATACTTCAAAGTGCAGTAAAATCACCGATAAAATAGGGCTAATCTGATGGTAATCAGAAACAAATATAGCAGGTTCTTCCAGTCAGCTATTAGTAGGATTCAGACACGTGTTTATGTCATTTGGAAAAAGAAAACATGGTTCAAACACCAATTTCCATTTGAGAAAAAGATGTATATAAGATTCCATCACAACAAATCCTACGCATGAAAAGATGTATTTCACTTTTAAAAAGGTAGAGAAGGTAGTATTTCTAATATGATATTAAGGATTTGAGTGGCATGCAAGTAAATATGAAAGTTTATGTGTTAGCTATTTATACTGATAAGACTTGTGTGGCATGTATGCAAATGCCCCCTTTTCATTCACAGTGGTAAATATTCAGCGTCATCCAGAAATGGTTGTTTGACTTCTATCAACAAAATTAAAAATTAAGAAAAAAAAAAAAGTAGCGAGTGCATGTTGTTCAAGCCACTGCGGGCTCTAATGAAGGGCTAATATATTCACCCTTATCCCAGCATTTATTGAAATTATTTTTACAACTGGCATGTCGAACACATTTACAATATTGGCATTGTCAGCAACTTGAAAAGAATTCTTGAAGTTTTCTGAGTTCAAGTTAACATAGAAGATAAAAAGGCAGCGTTTTGAAAAGAATTATACCTGTGATGTTATAAATATACGATGCAAAGAATCTGCCTCGTGCATAGCCCCACACATTTCCTGTAGCCGGGAGTTAGTAGCTGCATCAGAAGTATGGAGGTAAACCTTTGCTTCTAAGCTAGAGCCAATTAGCTTCTCTCCACGAGCAACCTCAAGAACTTTATTAACCTCATTTCTCAGCTGGAAAAATCATAAAAAAAAATAAGGAGAAAAAAAGAGGCTTAGTGAGAAGCCAAGTGTAGGAGATGTTGTATAATTACGCACTTCCTATTGATAACTTCTAAATACTACACACTGCACTTGATAACCCCTTTGAATTCAATCAAATGGGAGGATGGAAATATATTCATTATCATTTTTTACACAAATATGGTCAATTGTTATAAGAAAAGTAGCATTCAGTTGCACAAAAACACAGAAGCCTTCTCATATAAACAGATGGTGATTCCACAGCACAAGAATATTACTGAAGTCCAAATTTGCATGAATATTTTTACGAGACCTATCAGAATAATGGCATAAGCAAAGAAGAGAAATGCGCATCATCAGCCTTTTCCCTTTTTTTCTTTTATTTTTTTTAACACAAGTACACGATCGGCTTTCTACTTTAGCGAGATTGTTTTATAACTTGCAAAACTTCACTATTTACTTATATTTTCTTAGTGATAGCCACAAATTTAAATGGTTGATGAAGCATGCGTTCATTTAAAAGAATAAATCAAACATAAGGTTTATGCAATTGTTAGGAGAGGGGATAGATATACCGTATAAGAAATAAAAAAAAAAGGTGGTAAACAAAAAATAGCATGGATGCAAGTTTTAAAAAAAAAAAAAAAAAAAAAAAGTTTACCAACAATAAAGCAAACGCCACATGCATCACTTAATGGTAAGAATGGAGCACGAGGAGGGCTAACACCAAATAATTCGGATAAGGCTATAGATGATGATCATCAAGCACATTAATTTTTATGATATAATTAATGAAAAAAACTTATTCAAAACAAAAACAATTAATAGTAAGGATGACAATTTTGGTTTAGGTTCTTAGATTATATATTTTCTATATTAGTGGATTCAATGCAATAGATAGATGAGTGTATATTATTAGAAAATTTTGAAAATTTTAATTTAAAAAAAAACAAAAACAAAATAGCCTCCTCATTTTACACAACGAAATCAATAAATGCATTCAAACTTAAAAAACTTAATATGTTACAAACGACTTAGTGTTTGGCACCTCATTGTTTAGAATCCTAGTTTTTAACAAACCAGTACTGGATTTCTGTTGGATAAGCAATTATTTTTACATGAGGATGCGCTCCCATTTGTAGTGATGGGAATTAGCTCATAATGCTACCTCAGTGAGAAAATAACAAAAAACGTTTAAACTTTTTGAATCCAATATATTAGCTTTCTTACTTACACCCGGCCAAAACAATCCAAAACATGTGACATGTAAACAATGAGATGGAGTTTTTAACTAATGAGCAAATAACAACCTTAGCAAATACTTCAAGGAGATTTATCCGAAACCCTGCAGCCGAAAGATGGCTTTTAATGCAAGATTTGTTGCAAAAAATTCCTTGGTCTTTCTCTGAATGTTTCACAAGGAATGCTAGAAAATTTAAAAGTTAATGAATGGATTAGAACCATCACTAAGTAACTCAATGCTGAATAATCTAAATTTAAGTTTACTTTCTGGAAGACCTCAAATATAGTGGAGAAAAACAATAGAAAGAAAAGCAGGCAGAAACAGAGTAAAAAATGATTCCGACTTCAACAATGTAGTTACCCAGAACTCATTACCCAACTGTGCGACTTCTCTACCAACTAAACAATGAAACAGGGATGGGTAAAAGAGTTTTAGCACCATTGTCACAGAAAATTGGAAAATAAAATATTGTACGGGAAGAAAAATATTCCAATAGCATTAATTGGTTTACTAGTAAGGCATTGAAAATGGATTAAGCATTCAGTAAACAGATAGGAAACAATTCTGAGTTAGCTTCTCAAATCATGTCATAATTTTTTAGATTTTTATTTTAGACTCACTAAAGATAAAGACAATAAAAGTCCCTTGAAAATTATGTTTATTATTTGACTAAACTATAATTCTGCAACCGATTTTCTACAAACCAGAAAAAAATTTTGTAGTTTTAGAGGATTGCACAATGTCATTCTAGAGTCTAACAAACCAAGAAAAAGATCAATTTTTTTTTTTCAGACCCATGAGAGAGAGTAATTAAGTAAGATGAAGTTCATAGACAATGAATACCTCAAGAATCGAAGTCCAGAAATCTGCATCGGAAGCTGGCATTGAAAGCCATCTCTCATTTAGATCCGACCACCTTAGATCAAAAACAGATCTGGCAACAGAACCATTATCCAGTACATGCTCAAATGGAAGATTTTGCCAAGCATCTTCAGCCAGATGTGGCATGATTGGAGCAATCATTCGAATGATTGAAAAAAAATGAGCAGCAAGAACTGTTTGGCAACTCCGCCTTGTAAAACTGCCAGAACCTCTAAAAGCAATAAACATGGTTAGAATAAGAAGAATAAGAATGGAAAAGATAAATAATGAAATTTAAAAGAGTATCCAATAAGCTGTGGCTCTAAACAATGTATACAAGGAACAGGGAGCTTTGGGATTGTTAATGAAAATTATGCATCTTAGGAAAAAGCAAGGACATATTCATTCCTTTTACTATATTATTTTAAATCATATGATATTCTTATGTTAGTCCATAATACTCATAATTTCTGTATAATATAATATTTGAGTTGAGTTCTTTCTTCTAGTTTTGTTGAGATTTGGATCTAATTTATGGTCATGCTTGTAAATAGCAGAAGTCAAGGTATTTATTTGTAAAATGTAGCAAGGCTCTATAAAAGCCTAAACCATCAATGAAATGAACTAAGTTTATCAGAAAAATTATTTCATTTTAGTAACAGAGCCCTAAACCAAGCCGTAGGTGCTGCTCGATCAGATGAGTCTAGATTGTCACGACTAAGCTCGGGGCTTGGAATTAATCAAGATTTGAATCGATGGTCATACGGTGGAAATTAAATTTCTAAATTAGTTTACAATTTAACAAATGAAAGAGCCACCAATCAAATTAAACTAAAAAAGTAAACTTAAATTTAACTCGTTACTAGTTGTCTGTATCTTCTATAAACGTATTTTCGTCTATCGTTCATTTTTTAATCACTTAAAATCTAAAAAAATTAGTTTAAAATAATTTTTAGTTGAACAAGTCAGTGAACACTAATACTCTCAAACTACAATAATAAAAGAAAAAATAAAATGCGTGCAAGTTAAAATTTTAATAAATTAATATAAAAATATAACATATTATACTAATATCATTTTATATCTGTACAACAGTCATATGAGCACATTCTGAAAAATTAAGTCAACTAAGGCACGCCAATTTCAATATTCTTTTCCATATACGTACATAAGTACTTTAGTGTTATCTCACTAGTACCATAAAGAAATGACTTCATTATAGTCAGTTATGCACAAACAAACATTCTATCAAATTCATTATTTACTAAAAATATATTTCATTCTCATTTGCAAATCAGACAATATATGTATAATGTTGTGCACACATATTATTCCTAAAATATGAACAGAAATTCACTAGAATTGAAAACCCCTAGTTTGCAGTAATTAAAATATAACTAATGAAAGTACTAATTAAAGCATTTGGTTTAAAAGAAGCAAAATATCATCATAGTAGAAGAACATGAGTAGTCTCGATGTCGATTAAATTTGTTATTTGGGTTGTCTTGATGTCGAATATTCTAAGACTAAAAGTCTAAAATAAACATGATATTCATATTTAAAATTAATTTTATTGATTATGTTATTATTATATATATATATATAAAAGAAATCAATATTTGGCAGAGGCCCAAATATCGATTTCTCATGCGCTATTTGGCCCCATGATGAGAGCCCGCGCCATATGCCTAAAATTTCAGAGCCCCCGCGCCACGGTGGGATCAAACCCTTGACCCGAGGGGACTTACAGTGACCCCGCCACTAACTTTGGCCCCATGATGAGAGCCCGCGCCATATGCCTAAAATTTCAGAGCCCCCGCGCCACGGTGGGATCAAACCCTTGACCCGAGGGGACTTACAGTGACCCCGCCACTAACAGGCTAAGGCTTGCAACAAGCACGCACGCGCGCGCGCACACACACACATATCACATAATTAAAAATATAAAATTAGCCTTACCTTCCTGGATCCAACACCACACACATGCATCCAAGCTTCAACTCACTCGCACGTGTCTGCTTCCTCACGTCGCTTCGTTCTGCATTCGCACCATACATCACCTTCGTCTCGGCTCTTTTGCTCAAGTTGACGTTGTCAATCACCATCACCCGCTAAGTGAAAACCCTAACGTTACGCCTCCCCTCAACAAATCCTCCTCCCACGACGTCCTCCCCTCTACAGATTTCTTATTCCTTCCTTTTCTTCCTCTATTGCTCGAAATCGACGCCAATATCTAACACAAATATAAAATTAATATAAAAAAGAAAGAAAATCAAATCAAATCAAACAATCAAAATCAAAATTCAAACTAAATTTTGACCTGGCTAGGTTGGGTCTTCTCAATCTATCGCCAACGCGTCTCTTTTCTCAGGCCAAAGTTTCATTCCACAGAAACTATGAATCATTGGTTTCATGTAGAAGAGGTTAGCTTACTCTATTTAAATAGAACCCCAAAGTTTCATTCCACAGAAACTATGGGTCATTGGTTTCGTGTAGAAGAGGTTAGCTTACTCTATTTAAATAGAACCCGCTCTTCTTAGTCCTTTGCACCGCGTAGAAGAGATTTGGCTAGTTCCATTTTATAGAGCTGCATCTCTTCTACACATTTCTACCCAACTTTGCTCGCACCAGAGTTACCATAAATTTTCACAAACCTTTACAAATTTTATAAATCCCACAAATTTTATAATTTCCACACAGTTCCATGAATCATACAAATTTTCATAAATTAAAATTAAATCTATAGGTTGAGTAAAAACACCTTAGATGGAGTAAGACTTTCTATTCCACATTACCTTAGGATGGATGTGAAACCCTTTTAATGGATGTTAAGGCATTCCTTTCTAATGTAATGGTTCAAATTAAATCTAGAAGTTGAAAAGTAAGGCTTCTGATTCCGCATTACCTCGGGATGGAAGTGAAACCCTCTTCAATGGATGTTAAGGTACTCTTTCAGAATGTAATGGTTCAAATTAAATCTAGAGGTTGAGTAAAACCATCTTACATGAAGTAAGGCTTCTGATTCCTTCGTTACCTCTTAGAATGGATGTAAAATCCCCTTAAATAGAGTAAGACTTTCCTTCATAAGGTAGCAAAATTCAAATGTTGAGGGAAGGAGTAAGAGTACCTTAAATGGAGCAAGGTTTCTTATTCCATCGATCAACTCTTGAGTTGGATGTATCCTTTTGTACTTTTCATCTCAAATTTGTTTCTTTTGTTCACCTCTTAGGTTAGATGTGAGTCTCCGACATTCTTTCCCAATGTGACACATTTTCTTCGACTAGCTCTCAAGTTGGATGTGAGTGTCTGTGCCTTCCTATTTGATCTAGTCTTCCAATCAAATCAACACGCCAAACTATCAAATTCTCAACAAAAAATTTTCGATAACTTTCACCCTCAAAATCTCAAAAAATGAAAACTTTCAAAAGAAACAAAAGAATGAACAAACAAAGTCGAAGAAAAAAATTGAAAATTACATTCAATCATTTTCACCGAGTACCTTAAATCCCCAGCAAAAGTTCTCAAATTATCAACTCAAATTCAATCTCAAAACTGATTCGGTCAATAGTCAGTCTTAAGTATCTTTGCTTACACATTCATTCGGACTATGTTGATCATTTTGGTCAACACCAATACACGCAGTGTTGTTCAGCATATAACACCTATTAGGGGTCTATTTGTTGACATCATTTTTATGAGGTATCTTTCCCTCTCTAGAGCCTAGAATCTAGCCATAAGACTTCCCTACTGACCCTCCTAGAGGACTAGTATTGGGACTCACACCACTTAGAAAATTCAACCACTTCTTGACTCTTATGCGCACGGTTTTGAATCGTTAACTCTTGATTGAGTCAATTGAGACCAATACATTGAAACTCAAGATGAGTTCTCATAAGGATTGGAGAAACCCTAAAGAGACATTTTGGACTTAGGAATTTATATTTTTTTAAAATATCACAATTCACATCACACCCACATTCACACTTACATACACTTCACAACTAAATTAAAATTAAAATTAATTTTCAAAAGAATCAATCATAAACCAAAATTGAAAAACCAAATTTAATTCATTTTTTGCATTCATTTTAGAACCTTTGACGCGTGTTGAGGGGCACGCTACGGAGATCTTTCTGGAAAACTTCAACTCTCGCGTAGGCGAAGGCCATCCAATCAAACCAAAGAATCTCATTCGCCGCATTGCATGAAACTAGCCTTAAAATGGCTCATCCATCGTGAATTTTCCCAAATGACATCGGATGACGAAACGTACTGCGCGAGTGCGTCCGAAACATCAATTTTACCAAGAGAGGACACTCATATTGTTATGATTCGTGTACTGGTTAAAACACACAAATCTAGACATTAAAATATAATTATAAGAAAAAGAAGGCTCAACAATAAAATAAAAATAATAAAAAAAGGAAGAGCATTTAAAATCTCACGAGGCCCCTACTCAACCCTAGCCGACCCTTCTCCCACGTGATAGATCCCTCGTGTCGCACGTGTCTCCCTCGCAAAACCTGTGGTTGCTCCCGACGTCCATCCTGCGTATATTACCCCTAGCTGACGTCGTCTACTCACGTAGCCCATCCCGCGTTAGGCCTTCCCGCCGCGCTTCTTCGCAACCGATACCCCGGCGCCTCACTCCCGATCTCCTCTCCCTCCGGCCTCCCGTCGGCCAAGCCACTGTTGCCAGCTTTTCTCCCATTGGCGACCCAACTCATGCCGCTACTACTCATACTGCAGCCTCTGTCCCAACACGATGGCGGGTGCCCTATTATGGAAGCACGCTGAAGGTTGGATCGCATCTTTCAATTCCTCTGGCAAGAGTTCTTTGTGATGGTAAACAACCTATAGGAGAAATGTTCGCAACACTGATTCTTCTTGCCCCTAAATGCAAAAAAGTGTATGAAAGATACCACTAACTGAGACGTGAGAGCATTAAATCCTCAGCTACAAAATGCAAAGCTTACTCTAGTTATAAGATCATAGGCTAATAGTTGTGTCCCCAGATATGCAGCTGACCAAATGAGACAAACGATGATATTGGAAAATTACCTATAATGTTGGAGGGAATCTTTCCATTGTTGAACCTACCAATCGCTCTATGACCAACGAAATCCTTCCCATATGGCGGGTAGTTGCACTTAACTACAGTCAGGATTGCATTGTTGTTTCCTGAACCGACGACTGAGTCTCCAAAGACAATGACTGTCGGTGGTTGTGGAGACGTTTGGTTCGTACCGACGACGCAACCATGAAGAGGATGAAGGAAAACCACAAAATGATAGCAAAGTGAAGGATGCTGCTCTCCTGCTCTCACTCGTTTGTGTGTTTCGTTGCGAGATACGTTGGCGTGTAGACCAGACACCGATAGCTCGAAGCAAGTGGCGAGGACGTTCGCAACCAATGCAATGGTATAACCTTTAAAACTCTTGTATTTTCTTTACTAGCCGACCTTATGTTAGCTTAGGGTAAGCGCGCTAGGTCCAGTTGCCCACAGGGGGTGAGTGTCGGCTGACATTAGTCGGCGCGCCCACAGTCCCTTGGATTGGCCATCGATTTCTAGAGGAAGCTCTAGGTTAGGATTCCCGTGTGTAGCCAAATCCAATGTGGAGCCGAGTGTTTCCCCTCAGTGAACCCTAGACCTAAATCCTAGCGGATTGGAGTCCCATCTCCCCTTTGGTTTTCCCCAACCTTTCGGATGTTTGGATTTCGCAAAGTGAGAAAGTTTTGTAGCTAGCTTACTTTGCAAAACATGAGGGGTTGTGAAATGGAAAAAACTTTATAGCTAGCTCATTCCACAAAATTGCGAAGTGTTTCCCTTCTGGAGACACAGATGTGAAAGTCCCCACACACCTTGCCAAAGCAGGCGACAACTATGTCACGCATCCAAGTGCTAAACTCTAGGTATCATATGCGACATCGTTAGCACGAGTATGACTTGTTATCGAGAATGATCGCCGTCTTTGAAGAGCGGAATGTGTGTGCCTTGCTTGAAGCATCATGCACTTGCATGTTGTCTCGACCGGCCGCCCCGGCCCGGTCGACATCACTCCGGCCCGGTCGACATCACTTCGCATCGACCGGCAGCCCAAGCCCGATCAACAATACTTTCTGCCTCGACAAACCGCTACAGTTTGATCTGCATAGCACTTTGGTTTGACTAGTCGCCCCGGCCAGGTCGACCGATCACATGAATAGTGCATGTTTTGCATGTGCATTAGTATTTGATTGCTTGCTTGCATGGTGCTCTATACCCTTAATGTGCTCGTCATTTGCATGTGTGTTTGGTCTTTGTTGGGGTAAGTTATAATTCTCCTCAGTGGCGTCCTAGGCGACTGAGCGTGATACTTCTCCTGTGCTATATGTCTTGTATAACATCTTGCATAATCTTTATCAAATGCTCGAGTTGCATGTTGAGTGTCCATTCATACACTCATCTCATTTGTATGATTCTCCTTTATGAAGATCATCACCCTTTCGGGTCACTGCCTTCACGACACATCCATCTTTCGGGCATCTACCTTCACGACATGCTCACTTCTTCGGGTCACTGCTTCCACAACACACCTATCTTTCAGATCGCTGCCTCCATGGTACGTCCACCTTTTTGGATTACTGCCTCCATGACATATCCATCTGTCAAACTGATGTCTTCATGGTACGCCCAACCTTTCAAGTCACTGCCTCCATGGCACACCTACCTTTTCAAGTCACTGCCTCCACAATATCTCCACCTTTCGGGACTTTGCCTCCACAGCACACCCACCCTTTCAAGTCACTAACTCCACTGCATGTCCACCCCTTCGGGTCACTGCCTCCACGACACACCCATCTTTCGGGCCTCCGCCTTTACTACACGCCCACCTGTTCGAGTCACTGTCTTCACGACACACTCATCCGCCGGGTCACTACCTCCACGACACACCCATCTGTCATGTCGTTGCAATCACTATACGTCGACCCTTTCGGGTCATTGCCTCCACAGCACACACTCATCCGTCGGGTCGCTGCCTTCACGACACGCCCACTCCTCCGGGACACTGCCTACACGAAATTATATATATAATTATTTTACAAAAAAACTAACATCCTCCTGTGGTGTCGTATTTGTTGCTCTTCATCTGGTTCTTATCTTCAACCATTTGAGTGCGCTTCATCGTCTCCCTTACTCGCATTTTCATTAGTCGAAGTGTTGCCTGTATGTCAAGCTTTAGACCCTTCATGAAGTTCCCCTTCAATCTTGCTTCAAAAAACCCCCTCAGTAATCCCGATAACAGCTCAAATCTCCTTATATTCCATAACGATCCCCTAATGAGCCGAGACATAGAACAGTTTGTGTAGGTCTCCTTCCTGAATGACTCAGAAATATTCCAACAAGCAATCATTAAATTTCTCCCGCAAACGAATTGGGTATCTAGCCCTCATCCGCTGAAACCATGTTAAGGCTTTCCCTTTAAACATAACCCTACTGCCATGAGCTTCTCCTACCCAGTTAACCCATTCATCGCGATATATCGCTTTACCCTATAACCCCATCCACATGCATCTTTCCTCTTGAAGACCGACATCTTTAACTTCCTAACCCTAGATTTTTCAACTCAACTTTCTCTCCCTTCAAAAATTTTGCCCATATATCTAGGGTAAAACTCCCTCATTCGATCAGTCATACCTTATCTTGGATTCCCTTCTTCCATCTTAGTGCTCCCCATCAATGTTTCGGCCCAAACCCCTCCATCATAAAAATCTCTGATCCAACCCCCATCGAAGTTCTATGAGAGTGTTTTTGATGGTGGATGTTTTACTCCTCATGTCCTCACGTCTGGTCTCTTTCCCTCTTTCCCTTTCGATTTGACCACAAATTCTCCAGTCAACCATTGGGGGTCATAGATTGCATTGCAACAAGATTCCTTATCATCTCCTTCATATTCTTAAATCAGTTGTGAATGGAGGAAAGCATTTCCTCTATCCCGGATTTATTTTTCCATATTTCTCCTTCCAATCTCTTTTCCAAAGCATCCACTTTCATTGTCATCCTCAAATATGTAAGCGAGACTGACTTCGGGTAGGTGTACTTCCGCCTGCCCACGAACCTTTCTTTGCCTCTCAGCTATCTGGATCACTATTGTAATGTGCGGAATCCAATACATTGCGATCTTGTCGTCTGTACACCAAGATTTCGTCGCTTGCATCCCAACTAGCTCTTTTTGTGACTACATCACACGGATTATGTCACAAAGTATGTGTCAGCATGCCTCAATCTCGTCGTTTGCACCCCAGTTAGCTTTTTCTGCAGCAGCATCGAGGCACAACGCGATCATGTCGTCACTTCTAAGTTACACGTTGTGATCCCTGCTTCCCCTCTAGCTCGATTGTGACTTTATCACGTGGGAGTCCGCTAGAAACCCCATAGATTGCTTCCCAGATCGTGATTGTGTGTCTAGGGCACACAGTGAGAAATCCAATTGCGAGCTCTTCCACAAAGGGTGCAAAGGAGACACTCATCTTTTTCCGCAATCATGTATTTAGCTATATCGTAACTGAGCACGCAACTATCCGCAATCCTTCCCTGTCCTCCTGCATACGTGTGTTTCACTGTTTGGATCATGACTGTTTCACAAAACTAGGTCACCAAACAAAGGTAACACTTGTAAGTTACGATCATGTCATTAATCTTTCATAAATCAAATGCTTTGATACCACTTTGATATGAATCCGAGATGAATTTTCCACTAAAATTATGGTAAATAATATTTTTATTTCATGAAATCAAACAACACAACACCAATACATATGACAAGCACCTACAATTCGAGAGGTAGGTGATCTCTCTTAAATCCTACAATTTGAGAGGTAGGAAATCTCTCTCCAAATCCTTACCTTAAGACTCAAGATAAGAATCTTCTGCATAACCCTAACACTAAGCATATTATCCCTATTTATACTAAATGATCCCTATTTATACTAAATGATACAAATAACAAAAGAGTAAATTGCACTTGGCTAATGAAAACAAAATCATCCTTAGGCATCATCGTCACAATATATCATTAATTGGTAACCCCTCATAGATTCACGAAGAAAATATGTAGACCCATGAAATGTTTAATCTCTCAATGAAGTATTAAGTTATTAATTAAAAAAATTAAAGAAGAAAACACCCAACCTGAACACCTATGGTAGATGGTAAATAAATTATACCTCCGCTACAGATAAAAACTTCTTAGTTAAAAACTCAAGAAGCACAACATTTGAATTTTTAAATGCTTCGTTGATAGTAAGATTAATAAGCGATAGAAGATGAAGGACGTACCCCACATATAGACGATCTTTAGCGATATCAAAGTAGAAGTTTGAAAGGTCAACAATCGCAAACCGTTGAAGAATCTGAAATAAAGAATGCAAAAGTAAAATAATATGTAATAAATTCAGATAACGATTATAGTTGATCAAACATTACTTTCAGAAGGTTGCATACCCTTTTAATGTTATCATGTACATGCAAGTCATTCGAATAAGGTAAATTACACTAAGCCCTCAACATTTGGTAGAAAGATATTTGAAACAATCTCTAAGAAATATTTTAATAACTCAAGGAACAATTAGCAAAATTTTAAGGGAAATTTACAATGTAGCACACAATTCTTATGCATTTACATATCTCACACCTCAACTTTCATTTTCATACATAACACTTCGGTTCTTTAAAATTATGCATAAAAAATGTATTTTACTTTTAAAAAGTATTAATAATACTATTGTTTATGTGATAATAAAAAATTGAGTGCCATGTGTGTAAATATGAATGTTTTTGTGTGAGATATGTGAATACAAAAGAATTGTGTGCTATGTATGTAAACAAAGGTTGGGCATTTCATGTATCATGGAGTAGGCCATAAGCCCACGAGATTTTATGTTTTAAAAAATTACAAACAAAAGGAAGACTTACATAAATACGAGTCAATTCTTATGTACTATCATATCTAACACCCATATGCGGAGCAACAGTGAGGGTGCTGGGGGGCCTTGCCCCCACTGGCCCGAACCACTAGTATTCGGCTAACTACATACCACACTCAAGGGTCTATAAGTGATTCACCCTGACAAAATGACATATAAGTAATACCGACTGCAATTTTAGAAATGGGCAAACAAAAACACTGAACAGTTAACAAAGATCAACAGCTCATCCAAGGCGGTTTCAAATTTTACCAAAATATTTCTTGTTCTGTAATCACAAATTAAAACCATATGCTATGCATACTGTGGAGTTCAGAGTTTCCTACTTCAGTGGTATCCTATTTTATTCAATTTTGTTGTCATATTTCTTTCCTTCTTAAGTCAGTTTATCTTTGATAAGTTATAATGGTTGAAATTAAATTTGTCTGGGTCGTCCTTTATTATATAAGAACTGTAATTTGATTATTGAGAAATAAGAAAATACGATTTTATCCTACTTTCATGATATCAGAGTCTAGAAATAAACCCAAGCTCTCCTTCCTCCATCGGAGGCCTCTCCCCGCAGTCGTCAGCTCCTGCAGACCCTCCACTTGATCGTCTCCTTCACTGCAAGTGATTGTTTCCCTACCTGCAGGTGCGGATCATCCGCTTCTATCCTTCCCTGTAGGTGTGAATCGCCCGCTGTGTTTCCTTTGTTGATCCCTTCTTCAGGCTGTGAATCGTCTCCTTCATGCTTCCCTATAGGTTTCCTTCACGGATTCCTTCGTACTTCCTTGCATACGTCGATCCCTCCCATGCCGAAAGATTGGATTTTGCATCAATTCTTTCAGAAAGATTGCATCCCTTCCCGAACCAAAAGATTGAATTTGCTGCAACTGATGTTCCTCGCCTACTCCAAGCAGCAACAGTTGCAAGAAATCATCCTTAAATTTCTTCAGCCGGTCTACAAACCCTCCCCGACTTTTCCTTACAGTCGATAATCCCTGCTACAAGCACTCCTAGCAGAATTATTCCTACAAGCCTTACCAGTAATATCTTTGTCGTCGAGTCTACCCTGCAGCCCGATTACTTTGTGTTGTCGACCCTTCTCTGTTGGATTCTCCTTTCAGACCCTCCGTTGTTTGCCCGATTATCGCTAGACCTTTCAGCAACAACAGTTGCAGAGCATCAACAACTAACTCCTCTTCTGTAGCAGCCACTCGCCGGACCTTTCTTCCTACATCAATAGGGATCAACTTCCTCCCTATAACAAGCTGCATAACTAAATGCACATATTATGACCAAGTATGGTATGAGGATGTCGAGTTCCACTCCAAAGGTTAATCTTTCCTTCTTTGAACATTGAAAGAAACTCGGCCACACATAGGATAAGTGCTGGAAACTATACGAAAAACCTGCATAATTGAAACATGAGCAAGAAAGGAAAGACCAAGACAATAAGACTCATGCTTCCAACTCTTCTAAAGGGTCGGCCAACCCTAGCCCTTTTACTAAGAAAAAGCTGGAGGTATTGAAGAAACTTCTTTAAAACATAACCGAGCAACCTACCAACTTGACGATACATTAAGATATCACATCCTCCTCTTATCTTGCTAACAATGAAAGCTTGCGACTTTAGATGATAGATTCATGTGCTCCAGATTACAACTGAAGATATTCATGCTTTCACCAACTACCAAGAGTTCATCGACTCAAAATTTACCAGACTTGCTAGTGTATCTCACTTTAGGATTGTTGGGAAAGGAGAAGTAAAAATTTCCAAAGATATTCAACTCTCTTCTGTGTTATATGTTCCCCAATTAGATTACAACTTACTTTCAATTAACAAACTTACTCATGACTTAAATTATGTTACTGAATTTCAGGTGGTGGATTCAGGAAAGTTAATTGACGACGTTGAATTGTATCAAGAACTACCCCTAATCAAAGAAAGATATTCTCTTAATATACAAGTGTCTTCTTCACCATCCTCTTCCCAAATTCCTAAGTCCGTTAAGTCTAATTTTGTTGAAATTTAAGTTCTATTATGACATTGTCTTCTGAATCATCCCAATTTTCATTAAGTTGCGAAGTTATACCCTCGTCTTTTTATTAATAAAAAATAGAGTTTTATCAGTATGAATCTTGTCAATTGGTTAAACATACCCGTGATGTCTATAATTTGCCGCATAACAACCCCTTACATCATCTCTCTATCGTCAGTGACATTTAGGGACAATAAATAGAATAAGATGATTTGTTTTGTTTATTGATGATCACATTAAAAATAATTGGATATTCTTCATAAAGAAAAAAATTGAAACTGCACAAATCTTTTAGTCCTTCCATAACATGATTTATAATCAGCTCCAATCCAAAATTCATAACCTCAAAACTAATAATGCAAATGAATACTTCAATTCAATTCTTAGACCTTACCTTGCAAAGAACGATATCATTCATGTGAGTTCAAGTGTTGAAACTCCACACCAAAATGTGATAGCTGAGAAAAGAATAAACAACTCCTCTAGGTATCTAAGTTAATACTATTTTCTCATAATGTACCAAAAATTTTATAGGACGATGTCGTACTCACAGCCACTTATCTCATTAATAGAATGTCTAGCAGGGTCTGCGAATCTTCCTTATTAATATTACAACATATTCTCCTTCTTTCTAACCATTTTGTATCCTAAGTTCCACTAGTTAAAATCATCCAACTTGAGGTTGACAAAAAGAAACTTCGTATGTATACTAGAAGAAACAAATTCGTTGAGCAAGATAATGACAATATAAAACCACAAGACTATTCACAACTAAACCTGAATTCACATATCTCTAAGATTTTTAAAGAGGTGGAATCCAATGGAGAAGACAGAAAGTTTCATAAACTATCATATACATGATTATGTTGCCCATGAGAAGTTATCGACTTACAAAGTTTTTGTATCTAAGTTTGATATTATGCAGCTACCCAAGTCTATTCACAAAACACTCCAAAATCCATAATGAAAAAAAAAAAACACAATTGATGAGAAGATTCAAGCAATTGATATAAATGACACATGGATCTTTACATAGTTTCCTATAAAAAAAGATAAGTTGGGCGTGAATGGGTATCCAATGTCAATTACAAAGCAGATGAGAGCATTGGCAAGTTCAAGGCAAGTTTGGTGGTCAAAAACTTTACTCAATCTTATAGGATAGACTATCAAGAGCCATTTGCTTCAAGAGCCAAGTTAAACATTGTAAGAGTTCTTCTTTCCTTGGCAAAGAATAAAGAATGTGAATTGCATCAACTTGATATCAAGTTACTAAGTGAGTTGGGATATTCTATGGTCAACCCTACAAAGATGTTCTGTGATAGTCAAGCCATCAATAGTATTGCAAAGAATATTGTGCATCATGGCAGAACCAAGCACTTTGAGATTGATAGACATTTTCTCTATGAAAAGTAAATAGAGGCATTATTCACTTAGCATACATTCCGATTCAGCTTCAAGTCGCTAATGTTTTTACTAAATCTCTACTTAAGACAACTTCATTGATTTGCATATTACAACATCTATGACCCAGCTTGAGAGGGAATGTGAAATTTTGAGTTTCTAATTTTAGTGCTATTGTCTTTTATTATTATTTTCTTTATGACATATTTATTTCCTTCTTAAGTTAGTTTAACTTCGATAAGTTGTGATGGTTGTGATTAAGTTTGTCCTAGTTATTCTTTGTTATAGACGGATAAGAGTTTTAATTATTGAGAAAGAACGTAATACAGTTTTCTCCACCTTTCTTCAAATACAATAGCTGCTTCAAAAATAATCATACTAATATTGACTAAAAAGGAAAACTCATATTACCTCCCCAAAGAAGATTATCGCATGCCAATTTTATAAAAGATAAAATAAACAAATGAGACAAAAAATGAAATAGAAAGCATCTTAAAAATTATTGACGAGGTACTGAATGCCTGGAGTGATTACAGCTTCCCTCCCTCACCATCTCCCTCCTTTCCATCTTCAATATTTTAAAAAATCCACTCTAAATTTCAACCTAACCTTCTACTCAAAGAGAATAACCATCTCCTTTAAATTGAAATCCTCACTAACTGCAAAAAGCCTAACCAAGTTGCAAGGAACAGCATAAATTGAAAACCAAAACCAACTTTTTGCACCTAAACATAAGCTATCCACTTGACATTTTTCTAAATCTATTATTTTTGACAAGAACATCATCCTCTCATTTTATCGTGAAAGGTAACCAAGGCCACTTTTTAATTTAAAATAATAATAATAATAAAGTGCACATAAGAACAACCCATTCTACCATGCTAGCACAACCCAGCTTGAACCAGTCGGGCTTAGCCCCAAAAAATCAGACTCAACTCAATCAGGACATTCCAAGTTGCCTAACCATACAGCCAGAGAACCATATCAATCTAAATTTTATGAATCGTTAGCCAAATGGGAAAAATAAAATTAATTTTCAATTGATCAATTCAGTGCATCAATGTGCCTACGGACCTAAGAACATTCAAAGACATTCTTCTGGAACTAATTGATAGTGTGTTTCTTAAGGATTTATATCAGGACTCTTTTGTTAATATTGCTGCAAGTTAAATAGACATCATTCCTTTCCCTCGTCTCCAAATGAACTTGCTGTGGGATGAAGCTCCAAGTAAGCATCTCCACCATAGGATGGATTCCTCATTTGTTTTTTTTTTTTTCATCTTTAAGAGGAAATTTTCATAGATGAATTTCGCTAAATCAACAGAAAAATAGACATTTAATTCTTCCAAAGCTTCAGCTTTCCCAAGTAGAGCCACAATCATTGATGCAGATCAATCACTCTATTTCTAGCCCCTTGTCCAAGCCTTTTCTTTATGTGATTTGTGTTTTTTAAATCGCATGTCTTTATTTGTCTTATGCCACTTACCGGGTGCACTATTGGTTCTTTAGCATTAATTTGGTATTTCCTTACTGGATTATAGGCAACAAAATCATTTGATTAAGCATAGTATGAACAGAAAGCTACTGCTCGTGAAACTGAAATGGTGATAAATGAACAGTCTTGATTACTTTTTTCAATACAATTTTCAGTTCCTAGATGAATATCTGAGAATTTACGTCACTTAAATTATGTCGAGTATTAATCCAATTGCCTCAAGGATTGATGAGCCTTCCTCCTTAGCACTCTTCTCTCTTTTCTCATTCAACTGTTTAAAAATTATATCATCCCACTATCCATTCTACATCAAAGTGAAATTCAGCAAAATGTAGTTTAGGAGATGGGAATATTTGTGATGAGAAATTCCGTTGAGCTCATTGTTCAGTGCACCCTCATGACACTAGGTAGCAAACTTACACAAGCTACCGGAAGAGAATGCTTGAAGAAAGATTCTACAATTTCAATGAAATTTATGCAAGACCTCAACGAGGCAAACATGACCCAACGTTGGTGGGTTTGATGAATGCTTGAAACTTGTCAAATAGCATCATTATGGATGACATTAGAAGCAACAAGAAAGACAAGTTACTACAAATAAAGTGAATTTTCTCACCATGAAAATTTATCTCTGACAATTTTAACGCTAAAAGCAACTTTATGAGGCAAAATGAACAAAATTTAATAGTGAGGTGCTCCAACAGACCAGAATACTTGATATCAAAAAGCATTGTCCTGACTGACCATGAAATCGAGCATCTTTTAACATCATTAAGTTCTAATTGTGATCAGTGAGTGGAAAATACTCATTAATGAAAGATTAAAAAAATCAATTATGTTATTCAAATATAATGAAAAGAGTTTAATTTTAAAAGATGTGAACTCAGAGGAATAGTGGAATTCTCAAGGAAAATGTACCTGGAATATCTTGTAGAACTGATACTTATCATAACAATCCTCAACTATTTTTACAACATTTTCAAGCTGGAACATTGCATGTTGATCAATCTTGGGGAGATCATCATAAGCAATGGAATTTCCTGGCTGTAGAACAGAGCAACTACTCAAGGAGATATAGAAAGCAAACAGAATCAAATAAAATAAACATACATTCCAATCATGGAGATTTGATAGAAGATATCTAAGTGTTCCTCGAAACTTTCTGTATACATCAGACATCTGACGAAGTATCTGAGGACCAATCAATACATCCCCGGTATAATCAACGCTAGATACCCAAAGGCGGAGAACATCAGCTCCATAGCTAGGCTCATCCTGTAAATCAAATCAAGAAACAAAAGCTATCATAAGCTATAAGAGATTGGAGTTTGCAAAAACTAAAAGCAATAAGTGATAAACCTTGATGTTCAGTCCTCCTGAAATGATAATTTCAGGATCAACAACATTACCAAGAGACTTGCTCATTTTTAGGCCCTTCTCGTCCAACACGAACCCATGTGTGACAACACAAGAATAGGGAGGCTTGCCTGAAATTTATAGAAGTACATGTAAAACATTAAATGTAACATTTTTCCATCTGGAAGGATTTTGGAAGAATACTGCAGCCATAAGAAATTAAATACTCAAATGATGAGTACATCATTCATTTATTTTAACAGAAAGGGAGTCGTCACCAGTGTGTGAAGCTCCCTCTAATATAAGTTTGGGAAAGGTTGACATATCCAATGATAATTCCTGAAATATAGAGGTTATTTTCGTTACTCAAATTGAGAACATTACGTTATGATGGAGGCAACTAGCTATTATTTCGCACACACACTCAAATAATTCTTTGCATCAATTAAAAGGCTGACAACGAAAAGCAAATGAGGAATCACAAAACAATCATTATTTGTGACACAATAACTTGCTGGATCAAGTTCCATTTCATGGCACTGAGAAGAGCATGGGGTCAAGGTTGCAACTTCGGGATTTGCAGCATTTGTCTTTTAAATTTGTGGCCCTCCAAACAGTTGTATCATGACAGTAATTAATTTTCTGCCAATTACCTTCTGAGTCATTTATTTCAAACTCGAAGATTATTCACTAAAAGTATCACATTGCACTAACAAATTTAGATTCACTAAAAAAAAATGAAGAATTGAACTTGCTGATATAAGAAATTTAACTTGCTAACTTTAACTAAAACAAAGCAAAATATCATGTAAACAGTGAAATAGAACTGAAATTGCCACGCTTCCAAACGAGGTAAGAACTGTCAATTCAAAGAAAATCACACAATATCCTCTCTTCTTTTGTTAAAAACGTCTTTTGTAGGGTTCCTTGAATATTTTACAAGTTCATAAAATAAAAGGATTGCATCTTGGTTTCAAGCTGAAAAACTTATAAACTGAGGTGTATGAAACAAAAAAACTGAGCTCCTACTTTCCAGGTTACAATATTGTTAGACTATAAAGTGCATAATGCCCTCAAAAGTAAGTTGAGCACCAATTCAAATGGACACTCCACATAACAACCGATCATCCAATTTATTTCTTTATTGAGTAGAACTACATAGCTGACAGATCCATACAAGTTTAAATCATAGAGGCTCAATTTCACAATAAACAATCTATTATGGTCAAACTTCCTTAGCGAGTACATATCCCTAACTGACTAATCCATGACAGACTAATCATTTAAGACAAAAAGAGTGATGATAATCATGCTAGTGGGCTCCGAAAATTCACACCCCGGCATCTCTCTTGAGAGTTTTGGTGTTAAATTCCGGATCAAATTTTTAAAAGGCAGATAAAACAGTAAAGAAAACACTAACCGGAGATTCACCCACAATTTTGCAAGAACTTCAAGATCTGAGATATGAGGTTCTCATAGGCACAAGCTCATATGATTAATTACCTCTCCCGATAACAGAATATCACTTTTGATTAAGGTAGTCAGCATACGCTAAATATTCAAACTTAACATATAGTAGCAACAAATTTATGTTTTAAAATAATCAAATTATCACTCTTAGATTAGAATGCATTGTGGGCGAAATGATGACACGTTCGATTAAGATCTCAGATTTCGTCATCTTGGATTGTCATGTCATAGTGCCTAATCAACATAGTTAGAAGAGGTAGTTGAACCAACCTGATAGAAGAAAATTTGTCAGCAATCATGTGTTGTTTTGTCCAAGATAACCTTGTAGATGTAGGGCGAATGTTTATCTAAGGAGACTAATCTAGGTCAACATTAACTTATAGAGGGCTTCATAATCTATCAGGTATACTCTTTGATTCAAAACTCAAAAGAGACAAACTACCATTCGGAAACATACAGGCTACATCCATGATTATAATATAATGATGTCATCTGGCAACAAATCATCCGGTCAAAGAAATCTGATCATAAACATTTCTTTTTTGGAGTTTACAGGTCAAACCACATAGACAGAATACTCAGACCACATTCTCACAGACACAAATTATTTTGAGTATGAATGTTGCAGCACATTTCACATAAAATTGACTCTATGAAAACTCAAGTAAACATTATAATTGTCACCCTTCATAAACAATCACAGAAGGTAAGTGAGTTTTTGCTCTTAGCTTTTAAATGATAGATTTTATTTAAGTATTTCAAATTATCTATATTTAGAATTTTCTTTGATATTCGGATAAACATCTCCGGTTGAGATTCACATTCAACACGAACATCATAACAAAATTGAGATTAAAATATCTATTTTATAATTTGATTAAATTTAGTGAATTGGGCATTCAAAAAATGTTAGTCATATCGCCAAGTGCTATTAGAAGGAGGATCGAATTGGAAGCTCAATCTTGTCAACCTCATTCTGTATAGGGATGAGGATCAGATTAAGGTGTGAGACATAAGACTTTGCCCTAAGGTAAGACTACCTGCTCAAGAGCGTGTTTAACTTAATTATGCTGAATTCTTTTATTAATTTTCAAAATAAAAATTTCATAAAAATTATATGATTTATGTGTATGAAAGTAGATTATATTTAACTTAAACTAATATTCTTCTTACGCAACATTCTCAGAAGTTTAAGTGAATCAAGATAAGTGACAGAGCACATGTGGGTGTTTAACTTTCATTATATACTTCTAAAATTAAAAATTTTGAATATTTGCACAAATATATTATTTATCAAAATACGTGCAAAATTATAATTGAAATATTTACAACCATCTTCTGTCCACAAATGTTATGAATCCAATGACGAGAGGGGTGCAAATTAGAAATTGATTTACAATTTTATTTAAATTACTCTTTTAAATTCTAAAATTAGGCGTCATTTTTAAAATTTTATAATTACTTGTGTGACAAATTTTAATTGCATGTGAATTTTCTAATCTCAATGGGTTCAACGTGGCATGAGAAAGCATAAATAGAGAATAAAGGCTTGATCAACCTCACTTGAGGAAGAAGAGTTGTGTTAGCAATTCATTTGGCTTCCAACTTTCCTCAAAGTTATCTGTATATTTATTCTGGCTCTCCACTTTGTTTGTATAGCTTTTACCATTGCAAATTAACTTAAAGTATCAACTTTAGATTTTAATTTCATAACATTTAGCTTAGTATTTTGCTCAAAATTAAATTCAAATTTTCATTTTACTTAAGTCAAATTTAATTCAGTGAGGGGCTGCATCGGGAGTCTGAAAAAGTCCACCACTCCAAGAAACACATTCATGGTTCGTATCGTTTGACACTACAACTGGAATTTTCAAAATCTACAACGACAAAAAAGGCATTCATATAGTAACTGCAAGCCAACTTCAAAACACATGGATTTTTTCATTACGATTTTCTCTCGTCACACTAAAAAAAAAATGCACGAGTTAAGCAAATCATGCAAAAAAAAAAACATAAAAAGGATTTCAACACAAACATTTCATACGGGTTTTCCCCACTACACAAAGAAAAATGAGCATGAGCTCAACTTGTCATGACAATCAGGCGACAACTTACATTTTAGTTTTAAAACTAATAATTTTATACATTTTTGTGATAGATGAAGTAGACGACGTCAAGATATAGATTTTAAGGCTATTTCTCTATTTTTTTGGGTGTTTCTCAGCAAAAGAGAGAACGATGGGAGAAAATTGGTGGTTTATCTCGTTTAAAGAGGGATTGATTCGGTTTTAGGGTGGTCAGACTTTAGGTGAGAGATTTGAAGAGATTACTATGGCAGGATGTTAGTGTGTGGATGAGGAAAGCGGTGGTAGTAATGTTTGAGCAGGTGGGCTTGTTGTGCAAGGTTACTGGACAATGGTGAATGGAATTTGGTTGAATGTGGAATGTGGGGACCGAGAGAAGTTTCTCCAATTTAGAGAAATCACATGAGATGGGGGAGAAGAAAAGCAAGTGGAAGGCTTTAAACACTTCAACAACGATCTTGAACGCGTTTGCACAGTTCATTTTAAGAACATAAATCATTTGAACGCTTCAACAACGATCGAAATGATTTCTAGTTTTATCACATGAGGTCACATTTTATTTAGATCAATGTTATCACGTCCAATCGACTTATCTAATGGAGTAAATGTGTATATCAACAAATATCCCCCAACAAACATAATGTGTCTGAAGCAGATCATGTTAGAAGCAAACTATTTGATCATTGTCTAGGAATTTATCACATTTTATTTTATTTGCATCTTCATGATTCAAAAGTCTAATATATACAATAGCCTTATAATTTAATTGCAATATTATCGTGAGAATTTATTTATTTAATTGTTTGTAGATGTTCAGTTGGAGAAGACTCATAATCATACAACATAATAAACTCACTGAAGAGATTATTTGGGCCATGATGGACAGGTTTGATCCTTAAGAAATTATCGAGATGGATGATAGACTTGAGCTACACATAAATATATTAAAAGCCCACAGTGCAAATGATAAATTTTTTACATGCTCATTTATATTTCCCACATATCAGCTCAATCACTCCATTTTTAGAGAGCAGACAGAATGTGTAACATCTATCAAATGGAAGTAAGGGGTGTTTGACCCACTAGAAAGTATTGTGGATAATGTTAGCTAAGTGGATTGTGATCATTTCAATCCCCGCCACTAATGTAATAAAATAGATTGAGCAATCAAGATTATTAAGTTATCATTTAATGCAGTAGGATTCATCAGATTTGCCTTGTGAGTCTATTCTGGGACGTATGTTTAATCTTCCACTTAAATAGATGGGCTCAATATATCTTTCAAGCGCACCACAATATACTAAAGAAGATAGGAGTTTATGAGATTATATATGCCTCTATTTTTAGCTTTGAGAGTGTCCCTCCTTCGTGGACTAGAAGGGTAATTGAATTCTATAATTCTGTCACAAGCACATGTTAGCCAGGTCCTAAGGAGTTACACTGTAAGAGCTTAAAGAGAGATTTGGGTTGTTGACATTTGATCGTTTCTATGAGGACTGCGTCCCACCTAAGCAAGAGTTATTTCGATGAGAATATTCTGCTCCGAATAGAAGGGATGAGTTGATTCTGCCGACAGT